GTCACTAGAAGCACATTCACGGCCGTTTGTAAAAGTTTACAAACATGGTATCTGTGTGGTAACATTAGCTAAGCTAGTGGCTCAGAGAGGCTGAGTAAACCAGCCATGAGCAACTGCTGTCAGGCTGCCATGGTTGGTTGGTGACAAAAACTGCTACCACATAGGTTTCAACCAGTAAAGGGAGGTCACTATACATTTTTATAGCACAATATGTAGAATTCAAATACCAGAATCAATCAATAACACTACTAAATACCCATACATAGATTTTCAGCTGGGGCTTTAGTTACTCTTTAATATACTTTGTAAAGTTGCTTGTCTCATGCCAAACTGACACTGACTTGCTATGTCTTCATAATATCTACAGAAGCCTTAAAATTTAAATTGAACACACCTTAGCTTCAGATGTAGATTCCAGGTAACAGAGACGGTTTCCGAGTCCCTCAGCTGCCAGGCAGAACTTGCGATGCTCCTTCTGGACGGTGGCCACACACTGGAGCACCACCTCATCATCCTGCCAGAGAAGAGAGTTGCGTTAAAGCCAAAAATGTTTGACAGTGACCTATCCAAGATAAACAAGACCAGACAAGAAGAAAACAACCTATACTGGCACAGTTTTGTTGCTTCTCGTGCCACCCTTACTTGGAATTAAAATATACTATGGACACCCAGATATGCCCCTTTAACTTATGGCATTCACTGCTGCTTGTGAATGTTAGTTTTCAGATAAAAGCAGCATAAAAGATAACCTGTTACAAAAAAATGCTTTTTTGTAGCATTTTGTAGCATTTGGAATGGAACTCAGGGCGCTGCGGCAAGGTCTCCTACATGGAGCATAGGAAATGAGAAGAGAACAGGAAATGCAAGAGAATATCTTATTATCAAATTAGAACAAACAATAATTCGAACAGCAGAAAAGAAAAAGAACAAAAACTATATTAATCAATAGCAGCAGCAGCAGCAAAGCAGCTTTGAGTAATATGATTTCTAAACCTTTTACACAGGCTTTGGTATCTCTGTGGGAGAGAGGAAAACCTCGATTCAATCAGTGCAACCAATAAATGAACATCTGTATCTGTCAGGGTCAAGAGGGTCAGGCTATATTTGGCAACACACACACACAGATATCGATTTGTTTGTGTACTGCATGTGTGTGTGTGTGTGTGTGTGTGTTAGTGTGTGCGCATGTCTCCTGCCAGCTCACGTCCCACACTAATCTGAGCTGATGGTTGCCATGGTTCTGGCTCCCACCTCCTTCACAGCAGTATTAATTCAATAGATTTAGATACAGGCTGCACAGCACCCACAGACTCAGGAGGCGAGATAACAGACCCTGACAATATTTCAAACAATGGCAGTCCTGACCTAAAAGTAGACAATTTAGTGTGATCGCAAAGCAAAAGTCAAAAAAGATGTTTTTCTAATTTGTAATTTCACACTGCTGTATAGATAGAGAAAAGAGGTCTTTTTGCGAAAATCTAGAACAGTTTTACGGGAATTAGGACAGAGTTTTCATCTCTTTCAGCAGATTTAAAAGTTCAAACAGACATTGTAGGAGGCCTAAAGTTAATCTCGCGTTCATATTTAGTGTGAGGTGTTCCATTATGTGTTGGCGTTGCACCAAAAATTAGATCCTCGGTCATTCTGCTTTATATATGAGAGGCGTTCACAATCAAAAAAGGTACTGACTGGACTGTTTTCTCCCTTAACAGTAAAATCCTTTGAATTAATTTCCCAAGCAGTACAAGCTGTACATTTTACACTGAAAATGATTACTTCAATGCCAGAACAGCATCTTTTCATTCTTTATAATTACTAAGGTTAAAATACAATAAACCACAACTCACTGTATGAAGTTATTTCTGCTTCTGATATGTTATCAATATTCTCCCACAGAAACACTGACTGAAATTGATGAATAAACAAATTATGGTCAAAGGGGCATGCAATGATTTATACTGCAGCTAATTAACACAGAAGCTAATGAGAGCAGTTCCAACATAAAGTCAAAGTGCCAAGGTCTTTGGGATTGATCAACAACCTTATTTAGGATATACTTTGATCAGTTAGTGTTGCAGGCAATAAGAGTCTATCTTCATGCAGTTTTAATGGACAAAGTGAAGCGCAGTAGAGTTAAATGTCACGGCGAAGTGAATGAGGGGACGAGCTGGCACAGCAGTCCATACCAGCAGCGTTTTAAATACCCCACGACTCGACTTTGGGCTTCAGGGAGGTGATTACTGAGAGCAGAAAGCATCAGTGCTGGTTCCAAATCACTGCTGCAGGTTTCTGGGTAGTTGTGTGATGGAGGAAACACAGCTTGTTGTTTCAGGCTACAGACAGGGAAACTCAATATGGCGATAGGATGACCGAAGACTTGTCACCTCTTTAAAATCAAGTAAATACGCCTCTTTCTTTCTAGCTGTTTTGAATTCTGGTGGTCTTTCTAAACCAGCAGGGTCTGGCAACCTTAGTGGGCACACTGTATCTATATGAGTGTATACAGCACGCCTTTTTTAAGACTTATATACTGCCAAAAGGTGATTTATTGTGGCAAATTGTTCTACAAATCTGACCAATTTTGGGAAATCCTGGAAATCAGCAATTACATCCAAGTCGGGCAATTACACCTGCATACTTGAATTTGACACTTAAAAGCTTGGATGCACCAAAATTGATTTTTGCTCACTTTGATAGTGCGGCTTCAGAACCAGAAGTGGTCAGAGTTGCACTGGGATCAAAACTCTACATAGACTGGATGCCATCCAGTCATCTGAGCAGTGTGAAGCAACAGGAGGAAGAGCAGAATGGATGATAATGCCAACATCGTTCTAAATAGATACAACCACAGGAGACACTGTGCATGGGAGGGTTTAATGTCAAGAATGGATACATAGGGGCATTCTCTCATAAAAATCCAATCGCTGTGATCAGATCTCAAAAACTAATGAATTGGCCATGTGTACCCACAGCCAAGACACTTTCCTAAGACACTTTCTGTCTCTCTCTCTGCGCCCCCGACTTGATCTCAAGCCAGAGAATCTGGTGAATCCAAGGCAAAGTGATCCTCACAGCAGCAGTGTGACCATCTGCTAGACAGCTAAAGAGCAGCATCAGTACTATGTATAGGGCCCCGGCCTGCAGCGGGAGGAGGCAAGTGGCAGGTTGGGTGGCTGCTTTACCCAGCTTCCAAGTGTAGAGCGGGAACTTGACCCAGCCCTCTCCCAACCCAACCCCACCCGTCCTCACTACCCCTCAATATCCCTCTGGATCCTGCAGGTCCAACTCGTCTTTGCTCTAGCAAACAAAAGACTGTTTGTTAGAGCTTCTGTTGAAAGACCACTTGCCACTGTTGGATGTGTCTCTGCTCTTCAACAGACCCTCAACGTTTCCCATTCTTCTCTTGCTTTCTTTTTTCCCTTCCTCTACTTCGTTCCCTAAGCAGCTAGCCTCTGTGAGCCTTAACAGACAGCGACAGGTGCGTGCGTGTGTGTGTGCGGCCCGATGCATCCACCAACCGAAACCCGAGAACTACAGATGCTCCCGTGTGCCAAATAAACTCCCACAACTCACCCGGCGCTGCCACCAATGTGAACTTGAGAAAAGGTGAATCTGTTCAATCCCTCAGCGCTGCTATTTTGACACGCATGCTTTGCACATGCTCAGTGGAGATCAACAGGCAGACTTTGAGAAGGAAAACAATACGGGGGTTTAAAACTGAGGGGAATTAAGAAACTTCCAGCATGTTTGTCTCCTTGTTCACACTGTCTCAATGTGTAGTCTGTCACTCTGACTGCTCAGGCGTCGTGTTTCTCATAAATGTCAGGCAGGGTGCTAAGTACAGATTGAGCTTCCTGTTTTAGTGAAGCTTAGCTAACAACATGGAGAGCAAAGTAGATACACTGTAGATGTGTGAGAACTAAAGCCTGATAAGCTGGATAAGGGCTGATATTGGTAGCTATCAGAGCACAAGTTCTTAAACTTAGATTGAAAAGTTAGTTTCTGATATGAAATACATGAATTATAACAGAGCTTGTATCCAAAAATTAAGAAATAAATGTACTTTTTTGATCCCAGGCTCCAGAAGTATCACAGGTAACTAAGATCTAAAGAATCTCTGATCTGTCAAGCATGAGCACCTAACTATAAATTATTAAGTTATTATTCAATGTTTCAACCTTATGATACATTTTTTAAACGCTGGAGAGCCGTGGGAGATGGGAGAAATAGTGTTAGTGTGAAAAAATTATTAAAAGGCAGCAGAGAACTTGACAAAGTGCAGTGACAGTGGAAAATTAGAATGAAACCAGAACACATGAGGATGTAAACAAGAAACAGCGAGGAGCAAGACCGAGAGGAGGACTGAGAAATTGACTTTTTAGCTCTATACAGTCACATTTTCGACAACTACGGTCCTTCTGGTTCACGTTCAAGCTATAGCAGGTTTGGCCCCAGTTTGTTGCTGATGCTGCCATGCATTAATCCTTTCTGATACAAAGTCAATACAGTCGTCTACACTGGTGGCACCTGTAGGCAGGGTTGTGTGTGTTACTTTATAAAATCTTAGAAAATGTAGTCAGGAACCTAATCCAAATATCACAGTATTAAAGTAATGTAAGTTGATTACTTTCGGTTACTTCTGGATTTTATTTTTATTATTATTTTCTAAGACAACAGAATAATAACCTTAGAAAAGAAAATAGAAACCAAGATTTTCAGCATCAAAAATGTGTCCTCTGCTCAGTGTATTTTTAAAGAAAAACTTTTCATGAAACAAATTTATGCAGTAGCCTATATACCTTTTTTTTTTTACAGCTTGAAGGCAGAACTTGCACTGTACTGTGATGTTGTTTCCCTTTTCTGCTTTCAAGACAAAATAATGGTGACATTCCAACCAAGTGAAAGCATTTTGAGGCCATGATAAACTCCCGACCAGAGTGAGACTCGTGAAGTGTTCTCAGAGGTTAAACAAATGGTCCAATAATGGACAAATTACAAAAACAAAACAAAGTTACAAGCCTGTGTACCACTCAGGTCTACCAACCTCTTTATCTTACAGTGTACATTGAGTTAACCTTCCTGTAACTTTCTTGAAAAGTATGGTGCAAGTGCAATAGCATTTGTTCCAGTTGTCTCTGTGGTTGCTCAATATAAGCCCACTCATGTCAGTGAAAGGGTTCAGTATGTGCAGTAAGTGAATAAATGCCATGGATACAGGTGACCTTACAGTTTAGACAACAGGGGCACAAAAAGAAGTAATCATTTATGTGTAGGGCAGTGGCATACAAAGCATTCAAAGGCATTGTCATGCAAAATTTGTGTTTTAAAAGTAACCAGAAGTATTTCCTCACAGTGAAACTTTGCAAGTTTATCATTAATTTGGACTCAAATATGGGCGTCTTCTGAGTAAGAGACAGAGAAATTTAGAGGGATCAAGAGCAGGCATTATGTCTTTTAACTTTTATCTACTCAGGTCCACATTTCCAGTCATTTTCTACAAAAGCCACACTGCTTTCCATCATAATTGATTAATGA